TGAGAACTTCGTGCAGCATGTTTTGAACATATTCACCCTCCCCCACAGCTCTTCCTAGGTCCACCTCTCCTTTCCTACACACCCAATTTTGTGTCTTTTTATACCAATCCATGCCAACTTTTGCTGCCCTAATATTCCTAGATGTAGGACCTTCCACTGGAGCATGGTCAACTTATGAGAGCCTATATTTTTATAACAAGCTGACTCTTTATCTCCTAGCAACTGACAGTTGAGTGGTTGGATTTCACATCCAACTCCCTTCTCCATGTTGGAATTTGGAATAGCCAGATCTTGTGTGTGATGTCATAACCATTGTGAATTCGTATGTGCAGTTGCCCTGTTTCATCAGGAGGACACTTTTCATTCCCGCTGTAATGATTAGATGATGAAGGTCATTTCATAAAGCAAGAGATAATGTTGAATGCTACCATAGTGGTTTAACGAATGTGTGCTTGCTTAAAGGGATCAGCCACGTGTTCCAGGTTAATATACCTCATTTACATGACTTCTGTGCTCCTTAAAAAAATTTTAGTTTGTTTCTTCAAATCTAAACATCAAAGAGAGTTATTATCTTCTATAGTAGAGAACATCACCTCCTTCAAATGCTCCTTCTTTTGTTTTAATTTTGTATTAAGTTAGTTCTTTGACGTTTTCATACCTGCTTGTAATGTGTTCTGATTATGCTCTCTGTACAGTCTTTTGTCTCTTTCTTATGCCTACCAGCTCCCACTATCCCCTCCACATACCAGTCCCTTTCCCAGATTAATGACTTTGGGGTTTACTTTGTGGCCTACTTAGTTAACCAGGGCTATAATTGTAGCCATCAGACTGGGACTATCTATTGGAGCTTGGTGGGGCCACTTGTGGGTGCCAACAACTGTTGGCAACGACTCCCTCTCTCCCTAAATCTGTCAGTAAGAAACAGTTCATCAGTGACAGATAGGGCCCCATGAGTCCCTCCTCCCTTTTATCTGACAGTGACAGGCTCAGTCATGAGCAGTCCCTATACAGTTGTTCCCAGTTGTTATGTGTTTGTGATTGCACTTGCTGTTTCTTACCCAGAAGATAGCATATCACAGCCCCTTTCCCTGTCTTCCGATTCTTTCATTCTTTCTTCTGCAATAGTCCTTGAGCCTTAGCGGGAAGCTGTTGATGCTTTGTTTAGGGCTCAGTCCTTAACTGTGATTTATTCTTTGCATTCACACACATTCCTTGAAGTAGTAGTCTATGGATATAAGCATAAATATTTAGAAGGCAGTCTAAAGTTATGCTGGTTTAGCTAAACATTTTATTTTTAATTTTGATGCTGAAGTTGTACCCATTTGTTCTAGTCCTTGTGGATTAGAAATAATACTGTAAACTTCTACATAATTTACTGTTTAGCATGTTGTTGGGGTTCACTCATCTTATTAATCTACAAGTGAGCTATGACTTATACATCTCCTTTTAAAAGTTGAATTTACTATACAGAATTTGCAAATAAAAAAATCATGCAGCAAGATTAGCCAGGCAGACCAAATATACATAAACACTCCCTCTATATAAAGACATTTCTATATTTTGTGCATTTGTACATAAATTGCACATCCCGGTGTATCATTGCTCTTTGTACCACTTTTTTCATTTATCATTTTGGATATCATTCATTACTTCTGTATATAAGATCTTGTTACATTTCTCAGACTGGCTTCAAACTCTTGGGCTCAAATGATCCTCTCACCCCAGCCTCCGAAGTCCCTAGGACTCCATCCCTAGACCACTGTGATCAGCTCTCCACATTTTTAGCTGCTGGGTGGTGATTAAGGCAGAAACTAATAGCTGACCAAAGTGCAGAGAATAAGTGCCCGAGGAGGACTCAGCCGCATGTGGGCTAACTGTCTTACCACCTCCTACTCAAGGTTCAGAGACTCTAGCAGAAAGACGATGAGATGCAGAAGTTGGGGAAGAACAGAGCAAAGGCATGATGAAGCATGCCAGGGCTGCTGCACTCAGGAGCTCAGAGCAGCTGAGGATTGCCTGCACAAGAGCAAGCCGTTCAGTGTTCTAGCATGGAGCCCAAGCAGTTCGTTAGTGATCCCCCCTCCCTCGTTCGGTGCTATGGACAGTTGGTGGCTACTAGATGAGGGAGAATCTCTTTTCTTTAAGGTTATGACTCCAGGTAAGACTACTCACTCCAGTGGATGGCCCCACACCCAGAAGTAAATGAACAACACAAATTGGAGTCAAATGGAGTATTAAATTTAAAAGCAAAAAAGAGGAAATAAAGTTGTGGGGGGTATGGAAAAGTTGGGGGGATGAGTGGGGAATAAATCTAATCAAAATACATTGTATGGAATTCTCAACAGATAAAATATTCTTAAATGAAAGGAAACAAATGTGTGCATTAAGAAGGGTAGCACATGGAAAATGGATATGGCGTGGGTATAGCTCAGTGCTAGAGACCTTGGCTAGTATGGGTAAAGCTCTAGTGTCCAATCCCTTGTGTCAAAAAGGAAGTGCATAGTAAGACGAGAGATGGCACTTGCAAAGAAATCTCCCCAGGTTTCACCAGAAGGCCACCATGAGAGGTGAATAAAGTAGGGATAGTAGGAAGCTCCTGCAGAGAAAGAGAAGTAAGCTCAGCTTAAAATCCTCCTATCGAGGCTTCTGTTTCCCAGGAGGCCTTACCGAAGCAGGCAGGAAGATGCAGTGGAACAATAGTTACACTCAAACACCAACAAATACAGGTTTGAATCACCTGCCTCTCCAAAGTGACATTACTGAGCACCTGCCGCTGGGTGCTTCGCCTCAGGTCCCGGAATAAAGCACCCCTCTTTCTGCAGTTGCAAATATACAAAGCTCACAAAAGGAGATGAGGGTTCTTGCCTAGTCCACAGTGGTTTAGCCATTCCAGATCACTTGGTGGCAGCATGGAGATTCTTTGCTATTTTAATAACTGAATAAATTCTGTCACTAAAGAATAAAGGTTAATTGCAGAGCCATTTAAACTATTGAAAGGGACTGATCAGCAGCCAGAAATATCAAAGGCCTGAATGCTGGCAGCTCATTACCATCTGAATGGCACCCAGCCTTTGTTAAGGGCTTAAGAGACTTTATTATAAAGATTGGTCTAAGGATTCTGTCCCCCTTAATTACCCACTTAGTGTCAAGAACTTGCTTGTTCATGGGTCAGTCTCTCAGGGCCTTTAGCTGGGTGAGTTTGGCATTAGTATTTTGAGTGGGCACCGGGCCTACCCCTTATTCTAACCTCTACACCCCCACAGCCAAACCGGCCAAAGGGCTGTATGTTTTTCACTTGCCTGCCTCTAGTAGTTTAAAAGAGCTTTAATGGAGTTCGGTTCCTATAAAGATAATTAATTAGTAGCTGTTGTGTGCCAGGAACACAGTTGGAAGTTGTTTACCACCTAGTAGAAGTAGATAATTAAACTGAAAATTGCAATGTATTCTCCTTGCTAGTATTATCGGTTAAGGTGAAGACGGTACCAAATGGGTAGACCTGAAATCGCATACACACAAAGCAACATTAACCAGACTCGGCAGGTTATATTCATATATTTATGCACATGCTTGTAGCTAGCAAGAAAAATCAAAGAAAAAGAGGATATGAATTTGAAAGGGGGTAAGCTGGGAGGAAAGGGAAGAGGAAAATGGTATAATTTGTATTTTTTTTTCTGGAAAATTAAAAACATGTTTTTAAGAAAGCATGAGAGAGGGAAGGCAGAAATCCATTGTCTTCCTCATACTAAATGCCACCTTTGACTTAAAATGTATAGTCCTCAGTTTCAGCTACCTGGAAGGAGATAGATGTCACCAAAAGTAAATCTCCAGGAAAAATTAGTCATTCTTTAGATATGGGATAGGGGACATTCAAGGGAAAGGGTTGGCATAAGAGAAAGATAGGAAATTCTGTCGGCAATAACCATGGTATAGCCAGAAAACGCCTATCTAAGCAGTTGAGTGGAACACTTGTCAAAGATTAGCAGTGCCTATAACGGAGGTTCTTAGAAAGAGAAGCGCAGTGGGCAGTCCCGTGTTGAAGCAGCGTCACACTTGGTTTCTACTGCTCTAAAGTAGACACTCTTTACACAAGGAGGACAACCAAAGCTCAGGGAGGTTGGGATTAAAACTCCCTGTTGCACAGCTTGTGAGGGCACTGTTGGGATCCAAACTGGGCTCAACTTTAGAACCTAGGCTATACCTAAGGATTAGAAATGGGGGGGGGGGGATTACAAAAGGTTTTAGCTGTGCTCTCTAAAGACCTTTTGGCTTCTCCTGTAAGCGATGGGTAGCCAGTGGCAAGAATTGACGCAGAGCAGAGATCTGACGATCAGATTGCAGGAGCTACTCCCCAGCTCAGCAATTGTGATTTCAGGAAGATGCTTTTCCGTCTCCTTTGTTTTAGAAGATGAAGAAGCTGATCAAGGAGCGGTCAACCGTAGTATCCTTTTCGGTCTTTCAGGTTTTAGTTTTTTGACTTTGGTACTAGAATGGCCAGATTCCTCACTAGAAGGACTAGGTTTTTTTTTTTTTTTTTTTTTTTTNTTTTTTTTTTTTTTTTTTTTTTTTTTTTTTTTTTTTTTTTTTTTTTTTTTTTTTTTTTTTTTTTTTTTTTTTAAAGAAAGCAATGAAGTACTAGGGAAGTCCTCCACCTCTGGGTTATCCTTCTAATCTACTTTGCTCTTCATTGGCCCTGCTGTTCCCCATGCCTTGCACATACTCGGGCCTTTCTCCTGCCTCCCCACACCCTTTACTACCTCCACATCTGTCCCCTAACTCCTTCAGACTTGCTTTCTTAGTTCCTCCTCTCTCTCACTTTGGCTCCTATGCATATACTATCTTGTGTTACTTGCTAGTTTTTTCCATTGTGTTTTTTTCTTTCGTGTATACTTTTGGCCTCTTCTTTTCTACTCTTTGGTGTCTCTTATCTCCTTTAACACCTAGCATAGTTCTCGTTACTAGAAAAATGTACCTTTTTCATCATTTTCTTTTTCTTCTGGCAGTGTATGTGAGCACAGCAAAGAGAATCTTATGACACCTTCCAATATGGGGGTGATCTTTGGGCCCACCCTGATGAGAGCTCAAGAGGACACTGTGGCTGCTATGATGAACATCAAATTCCAGAACATTGTGGTAGAAATCCTGATTGAACACTTTGGCAAGGTAACCATTTCCTATCCTTAATATCTCCCCTCCAATAAAGTGACATCTTTCTTGTCTGCCTTTTAACTGTGTTTGTCTATCTGCCTGCCTGCCTGCCTGCCTGCCTGCCTGCCTGCCTCCCTCCCTCCCTCCCTCCCTCCCTCCCTCCCTCTCTCCCTCTTTCTTTCTTTCTTTCTTTCTTTCTTTCTTTCTTTCTTTCTTTTCTTTTCTTTCTTTTCTTTCTCCTTCCTTCCTTCCTTCCTTCCTTCTTTTTTGTTTAGATTTTCAAAGCAAAACATGTTATAAAAAGCTTGGCTATCCTGGAACTCACTATGTAGTGCATATCGAACCTGTCATCCTTATGACTTACTTTCCAGACTGTTTGGATCACAGACAGGAAGTTATGTGTCTTATTATTTGGTTCAAGTTGATATTGTGTGCCACAATGACATGTTTCTTGAAGATGTATAAATTAAAACTAGGGCCTTATATATGATAAGCAAATATTTTACCATTGATCTAGCCTCAAGCCCTCTTTTTACTTTTCAATCAGAGTCTTAATAAGGTGTCCCAGTCAACCTTCAATTCACTCTGTAACCCAGACAGATCTTCAAGTTATGATCCTCCTTTCCCAGCCTCCCAAGTATCTGAGATTACAGGCCTGCATTGTTAAACTTGGCCACAGTGATGTTTAATATTAAACCTAACACTTAGCAGTCAGGTAGTTGTGGCACACACCTTTAATCCCAGTACTCGGGAGGCAGAGGCAGGCGGATCTCTGTGAGTTCGAGGCCAGCCTGGTCTACAAGAGAGAGTTCCAGGACAGGCCCCAAAGCTACAGAAAAACCCTGTCTCAAAAAGCAAACAAACAAACAAAACACACAAAAATATAACACTTAGCTTTTCATCTATTAAGCATCTGTTACTTGAACATACACTGTTTTTATTATCAGGGAAATGCTGGGGATATTAAAGAAAAAAAAAGCCACTGGCTGTTTCTAAGACATTAACCATGAAGTATAGCAAAGGAAAGTGATACGGAAGAAGGTGATGCATATACAATGAAACTATAGGGTAGAGTTATCCTCACATACCAAGTCCATGACATCCCCCAATCAAATGACAGATTGCTAAGAGAAAAGTAAACAACATGTCTATGTAATTTTTATATGACATATGACTTTGCAACACTCTAGAATAAGCAACTTCCCCCCAAAACTCAGGTAAACTTATACTATATGATGAAATATCTGGTTCTAGAGAAATATGACTGCAGGACAATAGGGGCTGATAGAGTACTAACACACTGGAGGCAGGCCTATTTGTTTGGGATTTTTTTTGTGTGTGTGTTTCTGTACCTTTGAGAATACCATTGTTTGTTTTCCCTGGGTTCCTCTGGGTTTATCTTGTATAATGTACTTTAGTGGGAAATCAGAAAATTTTTTTCTGGCCTGCTTCAGTGAAAATGGGCAGCAGAAGGTCTGAGAACCATTATGTTTGCAAGTCCCATATTTAGCAAGTCTTGAATCCCATTTCAAGACCATAAATAAATCAGTGTGTTTATTTTAAATTACATCTCATTTTAAAATGTTTTAAGTTAGAGTATTTTATATCATATTTGACTTATAAGGTAGCATACATTATAATTTGGTCAAATCAAAGGAATAAATTATAGGGAGACAAAAAAAATGAACCTGGTAATGTGCTTGAGACAAGAAATACTTCTTAACATAAACTGTGTACTTGCCACAAATGTCCCATTGTTTATTTGTAAGAGCTTTTTAACAGACAGAGCCCTCCATGGAAAGCACTATTTTAAAAGAACTTTATTTGTATTGTGAAGGCCGATACAAGCTGAGTCTATCCATAGCTTAAGTCCAATCTTGATCACTTGTTAGCCTCACTAGGTAAGATGCTCAGATGCTGAGAGGCATAAACATACCATGGCTCTAATGTAAGAGATGTTTCTTTCTTTGCTGTAAAATAACCCAACTAAGATGACTTGATGTAATCAGGATTCTTTGTTGTTTCTTTCTTAGTGCTCTGAGAAGCCTAATATCCTGCTTTCGCTACAATGGTCATTCATCATCTCCATTCTAGCTGTTGAAAAGAATGAGAGAGTAGAGTTTATAACCCTGTGCTTTAAGGTTCTGGTCTGGGAGTTAGGCATCATTTTCATTACATTCCATTTTCTAAACTTCAATCTCACAATCATGCTCACTGATAAGAGAAGCAGAAAAGTAGTCTTTGTTTCTTTTTTTTTTAAGCCACAATCTTGCTTCATAGCCCAAGCTGCCTTTGAATTTGTAGTCAGTCTCCTTAACGTCCCAAGTCCTGGGATAAAACACATATGCAACTGTGCTGTCTCAAGAAGGGAAAGTCTTTTTTTGAGACAAGGTTTCTCTGTAGCTTTGGAGCCTATCCTGGAACTAGCTCTTGTAGACCAGGTTGGTCTCAAACTCACAGAGATCCGCCTGCCTCTGCCTCCCGAGTGCTGGGATTAAAGGTGTGCACCACCCGGCTTGAAGGTAAAGTCTTCAGTATAGCACATTCCCAACTAAGACTTCAAAAGGAGTAAGAGAATGCATCCACAGAAACAGCTAGTGTTCTCTGCCATGTTGTCCATGTCACTTCCAAAACTTTTCATAACCTTTCTGGTTTTGTCATTAGAAATTGAAAGAGGTTTATATGCTTCGATGTGATAGACATAGGTCCAAGGTTATTTCTTTAGGAAGTGGCAAAGATGGATAGCAAAATGGATAATGCACTTAGATGGAAGAGAGTTCAATTTTCCACAGCACAATAGAATAACTATAACACATGAACTGTGCCAAAAGAGAAAAAATTGTGAGTCTTATCACGAAGAAACAATAACTATATAAATATAAATATATATTTGATCCTTATGCACTGTGTGTGAAGGTATGAATTTTAACACTGTACCACATATGTATGTGTAATATCTGTCAACTAAAAAGTGTTAACAAGAGATATTCTAAGAGTCAAAGGACTTAATTAGGTACCACTGCAGCACCAGTCATGATGTGTAGTGACAGTAGGGTCTATACAAGGCGCCTTGTAATTATCGAGTTGTGAAGAAGAAGATAAGACCTACATTAGGTACCGTATTAATCAGGACTTTCTAGAGAGGTAGAACTGGTATGTGACATGTATAGACACTACAGAGGAGACCTGTTAGGGGAATTAGATGATGCGTTTATTGCAGCAAAAAAGTAACAGCATATACACCTATGATGGACTGGAGACCCCAGGATTCAATAGTATGACTCAGTCAAGTTCCAGGAGCCTCAGAACCAGGGAAGCCTACAGTATAAATCATCTTAGAAAGGCTACAGATAAAGGGGTCCCGGTGTGGGTGGTTAGCGTGGCGTAAGAGCAGGAGTGCAGAGGTCAGTGGGACAATAGTTTTGATGTCCAAAGCATGAGAAGAAAATTCAAATTAGTCTTCTGTGTTTTCATGGCGCCAACAGATCAGATGGGTTCTTCCCCAATGAGGGCTGATCTTCCTCATGTGGTCTACTTAGTCCAGTCTGTTTGTCGCTTAACAGTTGTCACAGAATCTAAAGCTGAATAGAAAGAGAAACGGGGAAAGCAAGTTGCAAGTGGATAACCCAGTGTGGACAAAGGTCAGAGACCTGATGCTGTGTTATTAGAACATGAAGTGGGAATAAAAAGTAGCAGATTGCACTGGAGGCAGACGCGGATCAGGGCTGAAAAGCAATTGACTGCCTAGTTGATGAGTTTGAACGTGAGCATTTTCTCCTGCCACTGCTAGGAAAGCATTGCTTTCTAGTAGAGAAAGGCTACAGTAAGCCTTGTATAAAAGAGGCTGCATTTAGAAGAATAGCTCACACAGTTGGAACACTGTCCGAGCACAAAGTAATTATATTCCGAGTTCAGACAGTGGGAAGAAGAAGAGAGAGGTGAAATCATTAGGACTTAATCAGAGGATGCTACTAAGGGTTTCTGATGCCTAGATTTCTTATTTGCCTGGCCAAGTGAATGTAGCCACTCTTTTTATCGTAAGAAATATAGAATGATAAATTTTGGGAGAGATGAAGGAAAGCTCAGTTTGGGGCAAGTTGGATTAGACAGGTCTGAAGGTGTGCAGGGAAGCTGGCTAATGTGAATCTAAAGAAAGGGTCACTGAATATAAAACCATATAGTAAACAATTTAGGATTTGGAGGCTACAGAACTCTGTCACAACTGACCCATGCTGACTGTAGAGTAGGGAAGCAACCATGTGTAAACAGGAGTGGCCATGTTGTACTAATTGCTTATAAAATAGGCTATTAAGCCCACGGTCTAATTCAGCCCTGGTGTATAATGATTAGATTTATTTATTGATGAGTTGGTTTATTCACACAGCATAATTATCTATCATCCATCTATCCATCCATCCTTTCATCCATCCCTATATGTGAGGTTTTGTTTAGACATAGGAAATAGGACAATCTATATAGAAGAAAGAGGGTTCAAAAGGATAATGAGGGAAGTAGTAGGACTTAGAATCCCTTGGAAAGCTTTTGGCTTTGTTTTCTATGACCAAAAGTAGATTTTTCAGCAGTTTAGTGACATGGTTTTTCTTATTTTTCATAGGACTATTCTGACTGAGGTGTGGACAATAGTTACAGTAGACGGAAATAGAAGTGGAAAGGCTAAACAATCATTTTATTTTATTTTCGTTTATTCAATTATTTATTTAGTCATACAATATATCTTGTTCATGATTTTCCCCTCCTTTAACTCTTCCTAGATCCTCCCTACTTCCCAACTGACTCAATTTAATGTTCTCTCTCGCTCTCTCCTTTCTCTCTCAAAGCAAAAGCAAGAAATAAAAATCAATTCAGATCAAACAAAAAACCAGTAAAATAAAAAACGGAAAAGCAAAGAAAGTAAAACAAAAATTCCACAAAGCATATATTTTGTTGTTTGTGTTAGCCAGATCTGGGCATGGGGCCTACCCTGGAATATTGTTGATAGACCAGTAACACTCTGT